ATACATGTGATCTCAGGACTGGTGTGTAAATGTACATGTTCAGGAGAGGGTGAGGAAATATTCCACCTCACTTCCTGCATTCTGGTGAATTTTTATGAGGCGTTGTTGCAACAGTTTTATCTGAAAAGTCTCTAATGGACTGTTCTTTAATTATCAGAGGAGAGGACGGGTTGGTTGGCGTGTGACTTCATTTTTTAAATCTGATTTTATTTTAATTTATTTTGACCCTCCAAAGCTACAAATATTTTTTCCCACGCCTCCCAGAGGGACCTGGGGAAATAATAATAATACATCATATTTGTAGAGGGCAGTTCAATGTCTACAGAGGCACTTTAAATCAGTTAAAATGATCATAAAAGAGAATACACCAGGTGAGGGAGCCCCTCTGTGTGGAGTCTGAATGTTCTCCCTGTGTCAGCGTGGGTTTCCTCCAGGTGCTCTGACATGTTCTCCCTGTGTCAGCGTGGGTTTCCTCCAGGTGCTCTGACATGTTCTCCCTGTGTCAGCGTGGGTTTCCTCCAGGTGCTCTGACATGTTCTCCCTGTGTCAGCGTGGGTTTCCTCCAGGTGCTCTGACATGTTCTCCCTGTGTCAGCGTGGGTTTCCTCCAGGTGCTCTGACATGTTCTCCCTGTGTCAGCGTGGGTTTCCTCCAGGTGCTCTGACATGTTCTCCCTGTGTCAGCGTGGGTTTCCTCCAGGTGCTCTGACATGTTCTCCCTGTGTCAGCGTGGGTTTCCTCCAGGTGCTCTGACATGTTCTCCCTGTGTCAGCGTGGGTTTCCTCCAGGTGCTCTGACATGTTCTCCCTGTGTCAGCGTGGGTTTCCTCCAGGTGCTCTGACATGTTCTCCCTGTGTCAGCGTGGGTTTCCTCCAGGTGCTCTGACATGTTCTCCCTGTGTCAGCGTGGGTTTCCTCCAGGTGCTCTGACATGTTCTCCCTGTGTCAGCGTGGGTTTCCTCCAGGTGCTCTGACATGTTCTCCCTGTGTCAGCGTGGGTTTCCTCCAGGTGCTCTGACATGTTCTCCCTGTGTCAGCGTGGGTTTCCTCCAGGTGCTCTGACATGTTCTCCCCGTGTCAGCGTGGGTTTCCTCCAGGTGCTCTGACATGTTCTCCCTGTGTCAGCGTGGGTTTCCTCCAGGTGCTCTGACATGTTCTCCCCGTGTCAGCGTGGGTTTCCTCCAGGTGCTCTGACATGTTCTCCCCGTGTCAGCGCGGGTTTCCTCCAGGTGCTCTGACATGTTCTCCCTGTGTCAGCGTGGGTTTCCTCCAGGTGCTCCGACATGTTCTCCCTGTGATAGTCTGGTGACCTGTCCAGGGTGAACCCTGCCTCTCACCCAGTGTCAGCTGGAAAAGGCTTGGAAAGTGAATGAATGAATGAATGAATGAATGAAAACACAGGAGCCTCCCGTCACCATATGATGTAGAATACTGTGACTTTAATAAGAACTGTAATTTAATTAAATTTTCACATTTCCAACAATTTCAACAAATCTGATGTGAACGGAGAATTTATGGCAGAGCTGCTGTATTAAACTGGAATAAACTGCTCAGGTGTTCCTAATAAAGTGAACACTGAGTGTTAATGAGCTGAGAGTCAGCAGCTCAGTACTGACATAAAAATATGGATTATTGGTTTTAAAAGTTTCTGCTCATGTTTACAGGTCAGACTGAGTCAGTCAGCTTTTCCTCCTCCTCCTCCTCCTCCTCCTCTTCTGTCTTTGCTCTCAGTTCAGGAAGGAGTGAAGCTGCTGACCTGTAGCTGACCTCACTGCTTCCTGTCTGTCTGTCTGTCTGTCTGTCTGTCTGTCTGTCTGTGTGTTAATTACAGACGGTGAATTTAACAACTGATAATTTTTCCTTTCTCTCTTCTTGACAATGTTGTAAAAAAGGATTTTACTTTATTTTATTATTTTCTTCACTTCTTATTAAAGACAGTTTCTGATCTCAAACATAAAACTATCTGTGAATATTTTATTTATGCTATTTTTTCTTTGGTTTTGTGATTGAAAGTCCCAAAATGAATCAGTGAACTAACGACCTGTTTGTGACCTGGCAGAGGTCAGAGTTTGTCTCCAGTTTTTATTTAAATTTGTTTTGTTGTTGTTGTTGAGGGAATACAGATCATAATGGGCTGAGGGAATTATCAGTTTATTTCATTTTGTTTATTTTATTCAATTTATTTCTTCTTCTTTTATTTATTTATTTTTTTTACTGTTCCCTGATATAGTGTCCTAATATAACTGCACTTTAATTAATGTGGGTGCAGACTGTTGCTCTGTGATTTATTAATGTCTGTTTTTATATTGTGTTTTCCTTCCCCCTTTATTAATCAATTAAAGACACAGAGATAAAATAATTTATCCAGAGTTCATTTCAGCAGTTGCACACTGACAGACTGAAACTAAGTGAATTCATAAATAAGTAAATAAATAGAGCCAATAATTAAGAGAGAGAACTTCAGCTTTTAACTTGAACTTTACTTCCTCAGGTAGAAAATGTGTCGCTGAATAAAACAGACTTCAACATGAAACATAATAAATACATAAAACAAACAATAAAGTTCAAACCTCCACATGCATATTAAAACATGAATATCAGAGACGTGCAGCTGAAACTGAAACCAAAAGAATAAATTTAATATTAAACAAACAGTTAAATGTTATAAACTCAGTCTGACGTTTACAGAGTTCATTCATTATGTCTTTAAATATTTTAATTGAGGTTAAATTAAATGTCAGTTTATCTCCTCCAGAGGTGGAGGAATATTCAGAATTTGTTTTAGAGAAAGTCGCAGTGAAAATAATCAAATACAAATAGAATTTATGCATTAACAGAAGAAACTTTTACATGTCAGATAAAAACATCATTTTCCTCTGAGATGGAGTTCAAGTATAAAACAGGACATAATGGAAATACTTCAGAACAAATACCTCAGTTTTACTTTAGCACTTCGTCACCACTGATTTCTGCAGATCTCTGAGGAGAAACAACGTCAGTAAAATCAAATCTAAAAAATATTTTTCACAGTTTGTTTCTTATTTTTGACTCATAATTAAATTCTTATTTTTGAATTTCTCAGCAGGAACATTTCACCTTAAAATGTATTTCCTGTCGCCTGTTTGATATTTATGATGTGACAAAGAAACAGTTATTATAATTATTCAGACTGAAAACACATCATTATATAAACTGTGACTCCACGAGATTAAAAATCAGATTTGAATGTTTTCAGTGTTAAAATGACAGAGTGAGTGAAGACTGAAGAGGAGACGTCACTAATGACATCATATTTATATATTTTCATGCTTTGTTTCACCATTCATTTAAATTAGAAGATGATGTTAATAAAATAAAAGTTATGGCTTTATTTAGATTATTATTATTATGTATCTCCTAAAGGTTTGTTATTGCAGTGACATTTATCCTGAAAATTAAAATAGTGTGAAAAGTTTTAGTTTGAACAGTTTTAACATCACTGAAGAGAAAATACTTCCTGCTGCTCAAACTTAACGTGTAATGAAGAACAAGGATAAGAACTATTATTATTATTCTTTATCAGTAAAACAGAGACTTGACTTTAATTTGTCCTTTAATTTGATTTTAAACACATTGAATTGTTTTTTTATTAATATTTTATTGATATTGATTATTCTAACATAAACAGTGTCACCGATGTTAGCAAATCAAATACAAACACACACATATAAATATATATATGCACATACACACATATATACAACAGTAAATAGTTTTTAATGACACTGAATTAAAGAATTTCAGTTTTACTGTTTAACAAGTTTTAATGATCTGCATATTTATTTTGTCAGTATTTACTTATTTCCTGTGTTTTGGTGTGAGGGCACTGAATGTAGACTATGAACTTTATTATTATTATCATTATTATTTAAAAACTAGGATATAAAACAGGCAGATGTGACTTTGACTTGACCACACCTATAATTTGATTATTATTGATTTATTTGATTGTAAATATTTTAACAAATTAATTTATTTTGAATCATAATTTATTGTGTTTTGTTATTTATTTATTTATTTATTCATTGATTTGATTGTATTTTTATTACCATATTGATTTAATGTGTTTTGAATCGTAATTTACTGTATTTTTTGTTTCTATAATAATTTCTTTTATTTATTAGTTTAATCATCTAGTATTGTTATTGATTCATTTGATTATATATTTTAATTAAAATATTGGTTTGTTTTTATTGTAATTTACTGTATTTTTGTTACAATCACAATTATTGTTATTATTTTCTAACAGATTCAACAAGAAAGTAAAAGTGAGTGAAGTGACTGACAGGACGGAAATGAAGAGAAGCCTCATGAATGAATGAATGAATGAATGAAAAATGAACGAATGAGTGACGCAGCTGAGCTGTCGTCACTGCTGACGACACGTTAGTCTTTTTTTTAATGTGACTCTGAGGTGATTTGTAGCTCCGTGTTTGTTCCTTTGATGGAGGCCTTTGAAATGCAGCAGCGGGACTGTGATGGAAATGAGACAGAGACACAGAGACAGACAGACACAGAGACAGACAGACACAGAGACAGACAGACAGAGAGCTGTGTCCTCGGGTGGACACAGAGCAACATTAGCAGCACATATGAGACCTCAGTACAAAGATTTTTACAAAATTAAATGTGATAAACTGAAATTCAACATGAACTCAAACAAACATAGTCAGCTCCACAGACACAGATCACACATCAGTTGTTATTTCCTCCTTCACTTCATGAGGTTGTTATTTAAAATGTGTCTCTGGGTTTGTATTAAAACATAGTTGTTAAGTGATATTTTCCACTGCAGAGACAGAGAGACAGAAACACAGAGACAGACAGAGAGAGAGAGAGAGACAGACAGGCAGAGGGAGGGAGATAAGAGTAATAAAAGTGACCATGTGACTGCAGCAGGTTTTAACGGACAGCTGATGGAGAGACTGCGCACACACACACACACACACACACACACACACACACACACACAGAGGACGGAGGACAGGTGGAGGTGTGGACAGGTAGAACACACCGTGAAGCTCACTTTACCTGCAGACCAGGTGAGAGGCAGACAGGACAGAGGACAGGTGGAGGTTCGGACACAGAGTGAAGCTCAGTTCACCTGGAGACAGGTGAGACAGGGAGGACACCGAGGGGACACCGAGGGGACACAGAGGGGACACAGAGGGGACACCGAGGGGACACCGAGGGGACACAGAGGGGACACCGAGGGGACACCGAGGGGACACAGAGGCAGGCTGGATCCACAGTATGCTGAGGGAGTCCCCTCACCTGGAAAAATGTACGTGAGTTACCTGCAGCTGGACAAGGACCCCGCCATGTACCCGCACCAGACCCCGGTGACCCGCCACCCGGGCCTCAGCCCGCAGAACTTCTCGGTCCCGGCCCCGCCGCAGTATTCAGACTTCTCCGCCTACCACCATCACCACCACCACGGCATCAACAACGACCCTCACCCGTCTCAGCAGCCCGGCCCGGGGCCCGGCGGCTGGAGCTCGGCCTACCCGCCTCCTCCTCCGCCGGCCCGGGACGACTGGTCGTCCCATCACTACGCTGCAGCCGCCGCGGCCGCAGCCGCCGGGGGGACTTCCGCCGCCTCCACCGTGCCCGGGGTGGTGGGTCCTCCTCTGGGCTTCAGTCCCCCGGAGTTCCCCGGACAGCCGTCCGCGCTGCTGCCCGCGGCCCTGAACGCCTCAGCGGGGCAGCTGTCCCCCGGATCCCCGCAGAGGAGGAACCCGTACGACTGGATCCGCCGGAGCTCCGCGCCGCCCACTAACCCCAGTAAGACCAGTTCTTTATATCTAATATTAATAATCACCTGCAGATCCTGAGCAGATATAAATATGATCTCATTTCTATAATATCTGCAGATATAAACCCCCAAAATGGTCTTAATAACTTATGTGTCCTGTTTTTACTCCTCCGCTTCAATTTAAATATTTAAATTATTTAACATGAATTATTTGCACCTGTCTGATGACGTGTTTAAATGTTTTAATGACAGATCCGTCATATTTTAATATGAACTCAGATACTCAAATCTGTCCGCAGATATCTACAGCGGCCTCACACACACACACACACACACACACACACACACACACACACACACACACACACACTGAGTTTCATTTTCAGCGCCTACTGTCGGGATCAATAATCAATAATCAGCCTCAGCTGTCCAGACACACAGCAAGTTTCTACAGGCAATCTGAGAGTCGGGCAACAGAGTGAGCTGAAATAAATAAATAAATAAATAAATAAATAAATAAATACAGTAATTAATTAATTCATTAAATAAATAAAATGGCTCCGATAAAATTATGTTTGGTTTTAAAACAGAGAAAATAATGAGCAGCTTTATTAAATTCAAATTATTAAACACGTCACAGGTTAATAATACTGATAATAATAATAATAATAATAATAA